TATAGAGAGATAATAGTATATGGTATATTAAACCATGTAACTGGCATATTAGTCCCCAGCATGTTAATGACATTTGGCTTTTTCTTTTTAAACTGACCCGAAATCAAAACATTTATTTTTTTTGGTGTTTTATTCTTTTTATTTAGTAACTGGAAACTATTTTAATATCAATTTTGGACTGATACCAGGATTTATGTTGTATATCATTATAAGAAGTATTTTAATGTTTAATTCTGAATTTGAGATCATGTTGTTCAAAATATTGACGAGAATTTTATTAAAGAGTAAATAAGATGTTTTCATAACATTTTTTTTAGAATCTGTATTTGCTGTAGGTTTTTCTAGAAAAACCATTTTTATATTGATCGGATTTGATATGTATAAAATGTAAATAGTACATGTATTGTAGATATATAAATGACTGTTTTATAATTTGTTATGTGTTTCATTGAATCATGATAGTGATGAATTTATAATTGTCATCAATTAATGGATTAACTTACATACAAGTTGTACCGTTTATTTTAGTAATTTTTCTTCTCTTTGAATTTTTTTTTGTTTTACTGATGTAATTAACGGTGAGAAAACTGGTAATAAATGTTGTTGTTATTAAGACATTGATGTTATATGTTTTGATAGCTGAAGTTCCTATTTAACAATCTAACAGTCAGATATCTTACCAGTGCTCCTGGATTCTTTATTAGTGCTTCCTTGCTTTTTTACAGATAACTACCAACTTTTTTAAAGAGATTTAATCTAATGGATAACATGGGCTGATAATGTTGGTTCGAGTCAGGGCCATATTTCCTTGTTTAACACCAGCACTAGTCAGTTTCAGGAAGCAGACTCTAGAGTGATTCAAATAATTAGCTCAACTTTTTTTTTTGAAAAAAAAAGTAGAGGTATTGTTATAGTCGCGGCGGCGTTGCCGTTGTCGTTGCCGTTCGCAAACTTGTACCTGGATCATAACTTTTTTATTTCTTGGTGTATTGTCTTCATACTTGGCCACAACAACCCTTGGTACAAGACCTTTCAGTTAGAGCTGTCATCGATATCGATGTATCGTTGATATTTTTTTGCCGATCAATAATCGATACACATTTTAAAAAATCGATTCTTTTGACTAATAAATTAAATGTCTAGAAATTATAAAATTCACCCAAAATATATACAGAAGCAGTTATTTATATCTAATATTATGCTTTTGTTATATAGTGGAATTATTTCATAGCAAAAAATATTGTCTGGAAAAAATCATGCAGTGGACAAGACACTTTTGACTGAAATCATTGAAACAGGTATGAAAGTGAATGACAGACAAGTGAGTATAGGATATTATCGATATATCGGTGTATCGTTGATTTTAGTCACTTGATATCGATATATCGTTGATATGCTTTGCACTGAATCAATGACAGCTCTACTTTCAGTAGACCACACCAACCTTGACCTTCATCCATAAATGACCTTGACCTTCAAGGTTAAAAGTCCAAATTTTGCTTGTTCATGCTGTTATTAGCTGTAACTTTATTTTTGAATGGATTGTCTTCAAACTTGAACATAATAATCTTCAAGGATATCCCTTAAAAATGACCTGACAGACCTTGACCTTCACTCATAAATGACCTTGACTTTGAAGGTCAAATTATTAAATTTTCATGTTTTTGGCTATTATTAGCTGTAACTTTGTCATATTTGAATGGATTGTCTTCAAACTTAAACATAATAATCTTCAAGGATAACCCTTAAAAATAAACCAACAGACCTTGACCTTCACTCATAAATGACCTTGACTTCGAAGGTCAAATTATTGAAATTTTCATGTTTTTGGCTATTATTGGCTGTAACTTTGTTATTTTTGAATGGATTGTCTTCAAACTTGAACATAATAATCTTCAAGGACAACCCTTAAAAATAACCCGACAGACCTTGACCTTCACTCATAAATGACCTTGACTTTGAAGGTCAAATATTTGAAAGTTTCATGTTTTTGGCTATTATTGGCTGTAACTTTATTTTTGAATGGATTGTCTTCAAACTTGAACATAATAATCTTCAAGGATAACCCTTAAAAATAACCCGACAGACCTTGACCTTCACTCATGAATGACCTTTGACTTTGTTTTGGCTGTAACTGGCTGTTACTTTGCTATTATTGAAGGGATCAACTTCATATTATAACAGAACATACTTAAAGACAAGACCCTTGTTGTTTATCGTGACTCCACCATGTGACTCCACCACGTTACTTCACAACGTGACTCCACCACGTGACTTCACAACGTGACTACACCACGTGACTCCACCACGTGACCTCACAACGTGACCCCACCACGTGACTCCACCACATGACTACACCACGAGACTACACCACGAGACTACCACATGACTTCCACCTGACTCCACCACGTGACTTGACAACGTGACTCCACCACATGACTTCCACGTGACTTCACAACGTGACTACACCACGGGACTTCACAACATGACTACACCACGGGACTTCACAACGTGACTCCACCGCGTAACTCCACCACGTGACTACACTGCGTGACTCCACCACGTGACTACACTGCGTGACTCCACCACGTGACTACCATGTGACTTCACCACGTGCATACACCACGTGACTCCATCATGTTACTTCACAACGTGACTACACCACGTGACTACACCACATGACTACACCACGTGACTCCACCACATGACTTCCATGTGACTCCACCACATGACTACAACGTGACTTCCACGTGACACCACCACGTGACTCCACCACGTGACTCTACCACGTGACACCACCACGTGACACCACCATGTGACTTCGAAATGGGTGTCTCTATTTATATATATATAAATTAGTAAATTTATATAATAATAAAATATATAGACAAAACTAATGTGACAAAACAGAATGATTTATTTTATAAAAAGGAAACGTTAATATTTTGTTCAAACATTTCTTTGTTGGCTTTTAGAGAAAGTAAAAAGTCGAGCGTTGCCCCCGCCCGGCAGTGACTCTTGTTTTTTCTTTACAATGGAGCTAAAATATGTTAAACTAACTTTAATGTTTGTCGAGCCTGCTTGCTGTGGGCTTGACTTAGTCGCCTATTTTGACGTATTATCTGTGCATGTGCGCCCGGACTTGTACTGTCTATATTTTGCTCATTCTTTGAAAGATTACAAAATTATTCAATATAAATGTTCACCGTGTTGGTATGTCGCACACAAAACCCAGGTCAAGGTCACACTAAGGGGTCAGCGCAAAACCCTTGTCCGGAGTTTAACATCTATATACATGAAAAGATTTTAATATAACTTAGCAAAAATATTCTACATGTTGTGTTGAGTTGTCTTGAGAAAAATATGGGGTCAAGGTCAAATGAAAAATAGTAAAACTTGGTTGAACGCTCTGTTTCTTGCTTATACATGTACTTTGAAGTATTATGCTTAGTGGTCAGAGGATTTTTGAGGCTGAGCTCGACATAACTGTCAAAAAGTCTGCAGTGTTTGTGTGTCGTGCTTGCATCCAAATATGTCCATGAACCGGGTCAAAAGTCAAGGTCATTTAAGATGATGCATTGTAAAGAGTTTGGCTTTGGTATCAATAAGATGTGTTGTGCAAATCTCATCTACATATACATCTTTCTCCTTGATATGAAGCTTATAGGTTCAGGTTTGAATTAAGACAAGCGGGCTTGACATTCTGCCCTTGGGCATGTCTTGTCTGCAAGAAATTTTACATCTGTAATGTCCTTAATTAAAAGCTTACTGATAATTCTTTGACTTGTTTCTACTTTGTGAAGTAATTTCCTTCATTACCTGCCAAACTTGCATTTGAATATTCCATTGTCATTAAATGAATTGTGTAAATTTTCGCCCAAACAGATTAATCTAGCTATTACCATAAATAATAATTTTGATGTGACCCGAGCTGTGTAGAACAGAAGAAAGCATTTTAGCTTACCTGTGCTCCAGAAGTGAGCTTTTGTAATGACAGTAGTCGGGCGTTATTTACAATTTCTTTAAACAACATCGCCTTATGGTCCTCTTCAAAAGTTATATAAATCTTGCCTCTAAAGTATTCCAAAGCTTAAAGGGACTCCACTGAGGTTTTTTGACATGAAGGGACTGAAAATATTTTTTCCAGATAAATAGACCATTTGAAGTAGGTTGAGACCACTAATCTTTGTGCAAAATTTCAGATTATTCGCGCACTTCGTTTTTCCGGAATAATTATTCAAATTGTAAAAAAAAGACACAAAATGAAAGACGTTTAAACGCTTTTCACTCAAAACGGGCTAAAAAATGCATAAAAAAACGATTTTCAATTTATTTCAAAGTATACTTCTTAACTATCTTTGCATATATTGCTGTTTAAAGTGCCCCAGCTCCTGTATGTAAGAAATTCAAATATTATGTTTTTAGGCTTTTAAACCTCAGTGGAGTCCCTTTAATTATTTGTCTAGTTTACTTATACAAACGTTAATTTATGCCCCTTGGACCAAAGATGACCAGCCCTGAGGGTCACTTGGATTACTTAAACTTTTATAGAAAACATATCTGTAAAATCTTTGGCTAGGACATACATATTGTGTCAGTTCTGTACAACTATTGCAATACATTTAAGATAAATCTTCATAAAACTCAAATGACCAGAGCATAGATTTTTGGTATGTAGCATTTCTTACATACTACAACAAAAATTACATGAATAATGGTCCAGGTTCAACAATGGGGGTCACTGACATACCGGTAAATATTTATTAAAATCCTCCCCAAAGGGTTAAAGTTGGTACCCGGAGGTTAGTTAGTCATATAGGAAGATACATTTAGATATTGTGGAAAATAGCAATGATAAGTCCTTAGATATTTTGGAACGGACATGTAACATTGCATAGTAGACTTCTACTTCAGACCCTTTGTGTAAAATATTTCACAATGATTAACAAAGTTATTGGTCATGTTTACGACGTATAATGAATAAAGTCACTGATATTTAAGATTGTTTATTATGTGAATAAATCAATGTATTTACAATTATATGTATCAAAGTATGTATGTTACTTTTGCAAAAAGATATTGAACAGAATCATCAATGGAAGCACTTAAGTTAAATGATTTTTGATACAACTATAAACATGACTGTATAGATATATCTAACTATAAACAAGCTATTACAACATCAAAATCAAGTCATAATTCTGTTTATGATTTTTTTCGGAAAGGCTACTAAAATCAAATATTTTTAGTACACAGTGTAATAAGTAGAAAAAAAGAACAAAACAGAAAATAAAGTTAAATTACAACAAAATTGTAACATTAAAGCAGCACACCTCCAGATTCATGCTAATTTTTATGAAAATGTATTAAAATGTAAAATGTTGTGAAGTGAACAAAGTAAATAATTTTCACATTGCAAACAGTACTTACAACCCATGTAAATTACCAACAAGAGTTGTAAACATGCAAAAAATAGCCCTAACGCAGTAGAATTATGGTGAAAATACTGCAAAATTGGTCATTAATCACACATAACATGGATTTTTTTTATCTTGAATCTTTTCACTTAAAATTTTAGTACATGTATTTTAATTGGATATTAATTGGAAAATATAGATACACAGCCAAATGTTTAACGGAAGCGGATTCAGCTGTTTAGAAAATAAATTAAAGTACACACAATAGGCTTCGAGTTTTCAGACTGCGTAACTTATTTACAGCGTACGTAAATGAATGCAACAAATTGGTAACCTTGTGCGTTTTTAGTTGATTTTGAAGTGTAAAATACGCCGATGCGAACGTTATCAAGAACTGAAATAAGTATTGGGAACATCCAAATTATCATGTGTTTAACTTATTACTGTCATGTAAAAGTAATAAGTTAAACTTATGATTATTTGGTTAATATCCATATCAAATCAATATTGTTCTCAGAGTAAAAAAAATTCTGTCAAAACGATGGACATTGACGGTGTGAAATAACATTGATGAGTACATTATTGAATTTCATTGGACGAGTACGTAGCTGTCAAACTTATAATGGATAAGACGCTAGCTGGTTTGTTCCGCTGTTGTTATGTAACGTTACGGTAGTATTTTCTAAGATCCATACACCGTTTTATGAACCCATTTTGCTTTGTTCATTTCATGAAATTTAACACTATAGTAATACATGTATACAATATGAATTTCATATGAAGCTTATTTCTGTAGAACAGTAAGGTTGAACACTAATACATGTGTATACAAATAAGCATTCACGTTATTTACAATTGCTCTATATATTTTCATTGCAAAGTTGGTAACGTCGTCGACACATTTTATCATGGTACTACTTTGATTGAAATATAATTAATCCTTTTACAATAATTTGTAGTTGAATGTCTTTGAGACAACAACATGATTATTATAAGCTGTGCAAATAGAACAAACAATTACTATTCCGGAACTGTTTTATATGTTGAGAACTTGAGACAACTCCAGTAATATTTAAAATATTTATATTGTGAACTATGTTTCGACTTCTTCACTTTTATGTGAATAAGACGTTTAAGTGTCACATGATACAAATGGTTGAGTTCTTTGATTACATGTAATGATCAAAAGTTTAATATTCATTAACAATGACTATACAATCATTAAAAATGATGTGACTAACTTTTTTAGAATATTCATTATAACATACATGTATGGTGTATTGATTAAGCAAAAATATAAACATTTTACCTTGATTAAAAGCAATCATTTTGACTTAAGGTAGACCATGGGTAATGCATTACCTCCACTTTGAAGAGTATTCAAATAGGCTAAAATCACTTGCAAACTACATTGAAATTGAGGGGCGTGAGTTCAAACCCCAGAAGGGGCAACTTTTTTTTCTTTCTTTTTTTTCTTTTTAACATTATTTATGTATCTCTCTGATCCCTTATGGAAGAAAAAAGAGTTTGATTTAAATTATATAATTATTGTAGGTATTTATTTGCTAAATAATGCCAAAATTTATAGCAAATATGACACAGATATTTTCAAAATTTAATAAAATAAAAAACACACGGTAAAAGTATTTTATATTTCGCATGATCAACCAATATACCTTTAAGAAAATTTAGGCAAACTTTGAAAACAGCCCCTCATTATGGAAAATTTTAGGAATATTTTAAATAAGGCATTTTAGATAGGGAAATGGTAAAATTAGTGTTAAAGTTGGTGGGGTAGGATAACATTTTTATACATATTCAGAACATTTTGTTTCGAAACAAACATTTTGCTGGTGTAATTTGTTATTTGAATGTTATTATTGTTTCTTAACAATAAGCAATAGAAAAACATTTTTTTTATAATGATGATATTACAGATTATTTAGAGTTTCCTCATTTCTGAAAATAAGCCCTTCTAATGGCAAAGTTTTAGTTCAGAAATATATCCATAACTTATAAACCACATGGTAAATTTTTTTTAAATTTTGCATACAGGTGAACTTGAAGACATATAACCGTCCTATGTTGTCAGTTTTAAAGTTCCTTATGGTTCGCATTACCCATGTTTCATATACATGCATATTAATTTGCGTCCAATGTTCGGATTTTACAACAGGGTAGATAATTTTTCATGCAGTATCTTGAATAGCATTACATGAATACGCATAAGTTTTCAAAATATGTTCAATATTAATAATATTAAATGATGTATTAGTATTTTGTATGAGCAGTATATTTTTTTAAAGAAAAATCAAATTGATATCGGATATAAACATAGATCTAGTGTGTTGTGCATCCATTTTTCGAATTTCAATTTCTTAATTTTTAGTAAAGAATAGATACAAAATATGACATTTGCGATACTTAACATGAATTATCAAAAAGAGATATTACCAATGTTAACAAGTAACAATATCAGATGCAAAAGGTAGCAAGATATGCTTGTTATTTGAATTGATTGTTAATGAAACAAAAAACATTCATTTTAACAGAGAACTATTATGATAAAAAAATTTGATAGTATCATGCACAGTCAATGGTATTTTTGATTATCCCCCAAATATAGTTCATGTCTTAGATAACGTGTAGACGCGTAACTCGTTTGAATGGCTTCCTACTAACAGCCGACAACTCCTCTTGTCAAAAGCCAATGCTAACGGTCCCTGTAGTTGTTCAGAAGCTCCCAACAGTTCATTGATCATTTCACCTTTCTTGTTAACCTGCAGTAAATTGTGTGAGCTAAGTCCACTGACTAAGATTATGTCGTCAGGCAGGATACAGACTCCCCATGGTCTCTGCAATGCTGGATCACTGAATGTCCAAACTATTTCACCATCTCTTGTCAATGCCTTCACATTATTTCCTTTGCCATTTGAAACAAACATGAGCTGATTATTTTTGTTCATTGCTACTTGTCTTGCTTCTGTAAATAGCTGGTCACCATTTTTATCCTTCTCAAGTGTTTTTATTAAGTTACCGGACTTGCTATATACTGATATTTTATTACTTTCACATAACATGATAGCGTCAAACGTTGTATCATAACAAACACCAACAGGATCATTAAAGTTGCTGATATTTATTGTCGATGCCAACTGTATAGTTTTTCCGAGTGAAACAATCTGTATATGACCCTTACCACATATGTACGTTGCAACCTCGTTTTGCCCTATTCTGCACACTGAGTATGGATTTCCACCAACTGTAACGGAATCTGTTACCGTGAATTTTTCATTCAGTCGCTTCAGTTTTGAATGTGTGTAATCGGCAATGACAAATGAAACCATCATCCATAGCACATATACCAGTTACCTGACAATTTTCCGGATCGATCTTTGTATTTTCCAGAAAGTGTTGCTTTGTATTCCTTCACACAATGTCAACAACTAAACTCTCAATGCCATTTAGTTTATCTTTCAGATTGTTATTCGCCATCAATCCCAACTTCTCATTTACTTTACCTGTTGATAATTCACTCAAAAAAGTTTCACAATCCCTGATAGAAACTTTACTTGCTTTAAGATTTACAAACAACTGGGGTTCATTTTTTTCTGACAGTTTCCGGAGATCTGTTGTTGTCGTTGTTAAAATAGTATTTAAAGCGTCTAGATCTGACTGGATATGTTTCTTTACTTCTCCAAACTTCAATGATACTTGTTGTTTTGAAGTTTCTACCAGCTGTTCAATCTTCATCAGAATTTCCGTTTTCAAGTTTTCCATATCTTCAAACAATTGCTCCTTATCTTCTAGAAGTATTTTGAGATTATCTGTTTTAGCTTTTATCACACCTCTTAATTCAATGAGAACATTCTCTAGTGATGATTTAGTTTTTTCATACTCAGCACTGTTGTTTATACCCTTGGCAACGTCGGGTAGATAATCAACATTTATACATGACCTGAAATATTGATGTATTTTGGTTTAGGCATTTATCTGTTTACATATTAAGTATCAACTGTATCAGGTTTATAAGTACCGACATAAAGTTAGCACAGTATTTCAAACGAGGAGAATTATTGTTTGCCTCACTTACTAAATGACATTGTAAATGGTGACTAGCCAAAAAAACACACAAAAAAGTGCACCATACCACGTTTCACGTTTAACTTAAGAATTGTAATGAGTATAATTATGCATTAACTGTAGTCTATAATAGGTAATTTAAATTAAAGATTAGTCAATGATTTATACATTCAACAATAAAGTTAAAAACTGTATCACGTTGAAATATTGGATTTTAATACATTATTAATTGTATCATTTAACTTATTGATTTTAAATGCAGAAATAAACAAGTTGTATGAACAATTTATTTACCTGTGTTTTATTGCTATACATGCTGCACAACAAACTTCGTCATGGTCTTTACAAAACATGTCGACTAACTTGCTATGATGAATTGCGCACCTTTCTGTTGGTAGTCCGGGTCCTGTTTCAATATTTCCATCTGATTTGATTTTATCTGATTTGTCTAATATCTGGTGTGATCTTAGTGCTGGAAATTTATTGTGATGTTGAAGACATTTAGAACAGAAATACGACCCACAATCCACACAAAACTTAACTGCTTCTATAAGTTTTCCAGATTCCGAACACGGTGAGCAATTTGTATCAAAAATCTCCTCTGAACTAGCAACAACAGACGACTTAATGTCCTTGTCTGTCGCCATTTTGTGGGAGAGGTTAAACTTTGATCCTTTCAATGTAACTATAATTTGACATCCCAAGTACTACTTCCTGGTTACATTATGATAAAATGAATAACACGTAGTGCAGAAATATTTATCACTCTTTGTTTGGATGACGATTAATTACTATCGAATGTTGCCAAACTTTCATACATACTAGTATACTAGTACTGTAAACATATAAGGTTATACCGTTTTTTGTCAATGTAAATTATTAGAAGTCAATATAAACTATACTTTTTCCGATATATGTTTGAAGGATGTACACCACTAAATAATGTAACTATCTATATTGGCGTCCGCGCCGAAGCGTGACGCCCTTATGGAATGAAATCAGATTTTGTGAAAGGGCAATTGCAATTCTCGATTCTTTTCGTCGGCCATAATAGCCGAACATTCCGATTGGTATGAGTATTTGATTATCAAAAATGAAATGTCGCAATATGTAAAATGAAAAGCGAACTGGATAATTTCGCAATGTAAACATATTCAAATGATATTATCTTATCCGTCAATTGATCGCACTCTTCGGTATTTTTATTAATCATTTTGTAGTACACAGTGGGTTATTATGTGTGTTAACTATTGCTTTACCTATAAATAGAATGATGACCTGAACATTGTGAAAGTCCAAAAATCTATTTATAGAAGTAGTTTTAGTTTACCGAAACGGTCATTCGTGCAATGTTTACGAATTGTTTTATCATAGTATTTTCATTCTTCGTGATTCTTCTTTTAACATGAGTTGTTATGGGTTTTTACTTTATTGATAGGCATGTAAACATACTGAAGGGTCAGACTAGGTCATTAAAATAGTAGATTGACCTCCCAAATAAATCAATTAACAGACTTTGTTCATTTCGACTTCCAAAGAAAATACCACATGAACTTGAAATTCTATCAAATAACAAATATTGATGATATATCCAAAAATACCCCTATACATTATAAATAAACTTATATACCATATAGGGGGTCTATTTTGGATATTATAGACCTGTATATTTTGAATATTATCGTTAACATTGATAGAATTAAAGTTCCTGTGGAAAAAACATTTAATATTCAAATCTCTAGCATGCCTACCAAAGTTCATGATGAACAATGTCTTTCGTCCGCCCATTCATAAATAATATACAATACTGGTTAAAACCAATTACATGTAACCATTGAAAAGTTTATAAGTATATCTGGTCATCAGATGTCTACTAGATCATCTTCACTTGCTGGACGCCCTTTGATGCTTTGCATCAATGTATTTTCTTGTTTATCTTGGGATACCGTTTATAAAATACATAATTGGTTAAGATAATTTATGAATCCGTGATGTGATAAATGTTATATATACCATGTATTATACATATTTATGCTAAAGTTTGGTTTACACATATTCGGATTTCAGACTGTGTGTATTTATAACACACACTAAACAACACTATATATATGTATATAGTAAATTGTTCTATTTCCTTTTAAAGATGCCTTGACGAAACAAAATACAAGATATCTTTTAGAAAGATAGAGACTCCTATACATTTATATCTAACTTACGGAGGAATTACGCAGGTATTTTACATTGTATTTGTTCATAAACCACATGTATATAGTCTATTTTTTACTTTTTAATGGATAATATATGAATCCAATTAAATTGAGTTCATTTTCCCATTTTCTCTTAGCAATAGATGATATATTTGCTCTAAGAATATAATCATAGATTTGTCTACTTCCCTTCTTTTGACTATTGATTATCTTGGTCATTAAAGACTATATAGGCATTCCTGGGTAACTGCTTATGTAACTATAAGCCCAGTAAAACATCCTTCCAAAATTTATTTTGCACTGTCTGAAGTTTATTTATCAAAAATTGGTCTCCATATTTACTAATATTTGAAAGAAAAGGGTACATGTTATTTACAGAATTAAAATACTTGGTATTATACATTAAAATTCTTCTTACTCATGTCAATTTTAGAGACATTATGAAAGTCTCTAAGTTTATCACTCTGAAACCCCCATTTTCATAATTCTAAATAACAACATTTCTTTTAATTTTATCTTGTCCTGACTTCCATAAGAATTTAAAGAAGGAGTTTTGTATAGCTTTAATTGTTCCTATATCAGGATTTGGCAAGCTAAGAATGAGGTGATTTAATTGAGGTAATGCTTATGACTTGATGACAACATTCTTACCAATAGGGGTAATAATACGTCTTGACCAATGAGTAACTAACTTATTAATTTCCTCCTGTTTAGATAATTAATTAACTTGAGTCATATTATTTAAAGTAATTGTAAAAGTAACACTAAGTAGCTGAAAACATTCAGATTCCCACTGAAGATTAAAGTCTGGGCATTTTTTTTAGTATTCCCTTTCATACAACCAATAATTATCAGATTGTATGTAAAGAAAAATATTTGATGTTCCAGCCACTAGAACGCAATATTGACACTGGATGTCTGTCAGGAAAAATCCTTCTTGTCAAAGATTTGCAAAAACCAAAAAAAAACACATTTATTTAATAAGCCTACTAGACAAACATATTTTAAAGCTCGACCATTTCGAAGCAAGACGCTATCTTACTCAACCTGGCGTCGGCGTCAACGTTGAAGTGTACAAACTCTGATGATATTGACCTGTTATTTTTTTTTTTACAAAAAGTTACTTCTAAGTCAATCAGGGAAAAGCATTTCAATGCTATTTATAGATTATATAATCATTATTATACATCTCATCATTCACTTATTTAGGTTATTATTATTTATAGGTTATTTGCTAATCATAATTGGAGGTCATTATCGCAAGTTCATAATTCTGTCACAAATTTTGAATGAGTAATGCCCTTTTTGTAAACCTAGAAAATTCTTGGTTTTGCATGCAACATCAGTCTTCGAAAGTACTGAAGGTATTCACTTAAAACTTAATACATGCCTTCTTAACCATTATTGGAGGCCAACAACTCAAATATGGTGCGAAGCTAATCGTTCAAAAATCTATTGATGGTATCACTTGAAACTTAAATCATGTTTCACAATTACAATTTAAGGTCACTTTCCAAGACCCATTATTCTGACTGTAATATGCCCTTTATGGACAAAACAGTATTGTCATTGCCAAAATATTTCAAAACAACAGAAAACACAAACTTAATACGCCCTGGATATATTTACTAATAAACTAATGCGATACACCTACTTTCGATATACACTCATTTTCATGATCGATTATAATCTAATGTATTTCTTTCTTTTTACAAAAAATAAAAATCATAGCTTTTAGTACAACCCTTTAGACACCAGTACATATTTGTATTAGTTAGTTAAACATACATTTGAATGATTCATCACAGTCACTTTTGCACCTTCTATTTCTGTACACTGGGTAATTTCGATGAAACAATGTTTGTAATTTTACAGTTTTTTAAAGTTCTATAGTCAATTCGTAATGCTTAATATTCTATTGATATACATATAATAAAAAATATCGTCTAAGATATACACGGGGGTGGAACCCCATATGTATCTAAAAATGAGCATCGGTAAAAATTGTATGTGAATTTGCGCTGCACCAGATGTGAAGTATAACGCCAGATGTGATTGTAAAAATAGTCAATCGCAGGGTATGTGTTGATCTTTTTAAACATTTATATAAAATCCAATCCTTTTTTTAAAGAAAATCGAAAAGTGATTCTACACTCCTGACTCTCCTCTATACTACACATTTTTGTCTTGAATTTCTATGCAGTCTTCATCGAGATATTCTTTCATCGAGATATTCTTTCCGTCGTGGGTTCTTGTGTGTCCAAAAAATGCAATGTGAATGAAGAAAATGTCATTAAACGGACTCCAAAAAACTAAGATTTTACGAAATCGCACTACAGACCGATGCTTAACATTTAGATTTAAACATTTATTGAGATTTGGCTACAAACGAAGGGAATCGCTGCTCAAAACTGCATTTGAGCTCCATATGTGCTGAAGAGATCCATAAGTGATATAGAAAACCATTTACAAAACTACTGACCATTTCCATATAATCTTTAAATAGCCAATGTCTAGAAACAACTAAGGTTTCGTAGCTTTGGTTGAAAGTTCAATTGTAAAATTAGTGTGTTTGATCACCACAATGACAGGGCTCACTAACTTATGCTAGCATTAGAAATACTAAAAGGCCCGAGTACATGAAAATGTTGACGCAGAGCTGATGATAAACAATTCACTAATAAAGGATATGTAACTTAGACAAACCAAATGAAAGTATTGAACTTTGTAAAGCTATCGTGTCATATAATATGTTTCTATAATAATGCTTACATTCATAAAAGATCTTTCACTTTAAGATTCCACAAGTTATAGTTTTAGCGACAGACTGTTATGTGGAAATATCATGGCCTGGTGCGACATCGAAGGTTTTTCTTTACAGGATATTGGCCGAGAACATTGCCTGTAAGGAAAACCCGAGATACCGCCCCAGGTTATAATATTTCTACATAATAGTCGAGTTCGATATATTTTATAACTGTTTTATCGCATGATAAACAGAAATGAGAATTTTTTAATAAAAATAAAATTTCAATTTATAATTGGCTTCTTTTTCATAAATTAAATTCCCCACTCGGAACCTCGGTTACTTTTATGTAACGTGTCAATGACCGATATTGTAAACCCCACACCATAAAAGCCATTCAGAAGTATGTTGGGTGTTCCTAATGTTGGTTGACCAAAGACACAGAAAAACATTGTTGTAAATAATTGGGACGCGCCACTGTTACGCTAACCGCCGTTTTATCAGCCTTTTTAATGGCATGCCAAAAGATGGATTTTTAAATTAATTTCAATAAGTCGTTTATTAACGATTATTGTTATTTTCTTTGGGACTGAAAACGGATAATATTGCAAGTAATGCTACTCATGAAAAGATTCATAGAGGCAGTGCCTCCTAGCGCGAAATAACATTGAAGGAAAAATGTTTATAAACAAGTACGTCCATTTTATACAAACCCATTACCTATGCCCAATCTGAATAAATTAATAAATTCGTTTTTTTTTTATTTATTTATTTTTTTTGGGGGGGGGGGTTGATGTAGGTTCAGCCTAAATTTTGGTAAAGTCCAGTGACCCATGTGCACTGTGCGTTATTGTCAATAGAGCATGCTACTGGCGTATAGCAGTTGAGGAGTATCAAAGAAAAATCACCGCACCACGCGATAACTGTATTTAATAGATGTTCACTCACAAACACAAATGTTTGCTTACTGGTTACCATGAAGTGATATACAAGTAAACGTCCTCAATAG